GAGAGTGGAATCGCCGCTTCGTGTGGGCTGATTCGAATCGCTCGAGGATGGCTTGCAGGCAGACCGACCTTGGCTGCGCTTGACTGAGGGAGAAGGAGAAATCAAATTTATTAAGTATCAAAATCATGGTGATTAAACTCGCATCCCGCTGGCTATAAGGCTCCGGACTAATATTTCATGTTTATGTTTGTTGTTGGAAAAAGTGAGAGAAAATAAGTTGGAATGTGGTATATTTCCCCCAACGGAGATTATATTTTACAAATACATCTATTTTATTAAGGAAGAATTACATTATATAATTCCCAAATGAATTAAATTACATATTTAACAAATGAAGGATTAAATTACATATTTCACAAACGAAGTTTTAGATTGTTTATTTCACATAAGAAGCATCAAGTGATATAATACACAAATGAAGGATTAAACGATATATTTCATAAAGGAAGGATTGAATGATAGATTTCACAAAATGAATAATAAAGGATTTTCAAGGAATGACAGAATTAAATTTACGCTGATGTCCCCAACAAAAGTGTCAGTTCAGACCATTGTTTGTCTCGCGTGTTGTGGGAATTCTGCAATTTTGTTTGTTACGGATGCATGAGTAGCGTCGTTTGTTTAAGAAAAAGAAGCTTATTTTATCATGACCAAAATTTACTTCTTGAAGGTGAATTTGTATTTCTTATGAACTGTGTAATTTGGTTTATATTATTTTTTTTCCGCCGTGTTTCCGATGTACGTGTGGGGTGTTGTAGATGATATAGATATTAGACCGGGTAATTTTTTTTCCTAACTCTGTCTCATTTCATCTTCCAGCTCTAGAATTTCATAGAGGATATACAAAGACGAATCCATAAGAAATAAAAAACACGTTTCTACGGCGATTTTTTTTTTTTCGGAAATTCTAACTCATTGGAACCTCGAGCGGCTCTCGTTATTTTCTCTTAGTCTAAATATTCTAGATTTTGATGAAGAAATGTTTGAATTCATCTTCTCATATATATATATATATATATATATATATATATATATATATATATATATATATATACACACATATATATATACATATATATATATATATATATATATATATATATATATATATATATATATATATTGTATATATATATATATATATATATATATATATATGTGTGTGTGTGTGTGTGTGTGTGTGTGTGTGTGTGTGTGTGTGTGTGTGTGTGTGTGTGTGTGTGTGTGTGTATGTGTGTGTGTGTGTTGTTGTGGTATATAATATATATATATATATATATATATATATATATATATATATATATATATACATATGTGTATATAGTATATATATAATATATATATTATATATATATATATACATATATATTTATATATTTATATAATATATATATATATATATATATATTATATATATATATATATTATATAATATTGTGTGTGTGTGTGTGGTGTGGTGTGTGTGTGTGTGTGTGTGTGTGTGTGTGTGTGTGTGTGTGTGTACACATATATAATACATGTGTGTTTGTGAATTATACCAACTGTTTTCCGTTTAATCTCCGTCAATTTTTTCTACAAGTAAAATATTCAATTGTTCTCTATATACATCTTTTTACATCAAATAACGTTACTACAAACGTCCAAAGAAAAGGGTTCTCAGATTTTAGAAAAGTGTCATATCCGTAGAAGAAAGCAATATATAGAATGATACTAGTTCTGCTTTTCAAAGATAAGGTCCTCAATATAACTTTTATTCGGCATATGAGATGTTGCAATTGAGCATTTAATGAACCCAGGACGGTTGGTGCAACAGTGCCTTGCAAGAGATATTACACAAACTCTTTAATCCCCCAGATAAGCGAAATTTCATTCAGGAAAAAACACGAATTCAACATTTTTTTTATCATTGTAGAAAAGGTATGAATGAGAATGAATATCTTCACAATACAAGAGATGTATCTGACCGGTTTCGATTATATCTTCGTCAGAAATACAATATATATTCGTCAGAAATATGTACATTTCTGACGAAGATATAATCGAAACCGGCCAAATACATCTCTCGTGTTGGAAAAGATATTCATTTCCATCCATATCCTTTCTACAATTGTCAACATGGATACGGTTCATTGCGAAGGAACTCCAACTGCATCCCATTATCCTCACGGCGCTTGCTTCGTCCCAACATCCTCTCTTGCAGATCACAAAAGCTTCCCAAGTCGCAAAAAACGAGACTGGTTTTCTCCGTCTAAGATCTTTCCCGCAGCAGCACTGAAATCGTTATGGTTCCTCCTGCTTTATATAGGCGACTGAGACCCCTTCTTAACCCTTTCTATAAATAGCAGCCACTCACTTCCTGGAGAACTCTGGCCGAAGGGTTAACAACCGAAGGGTCTGCGAATGTTGTTATCGGGTGGATAAGTTATTTTTTCCTTCTTCCTTCCTTTCTTTCTTTTTTTGTCATCTTTGGGTTGTTATTGATATTGGAATAACTCGTTGT